ATAGATATCGCCTACTCTTATCTCTACTGCTTGCATTAGAGTAGTGTAGCATGTTACTGCTTTCCATTAATCCTATCCTGATGCATAGCCTGTCATTGTTGCTACAGTCATTGATACCTTACCTGCAATCCTAAATGCTTAGTATAGGATGCTAGTTTATCATCAGTGGCCCTACATTCTTGTTTGTCTGCCATGCTATACTATCGGGTCGTGATCACTCAGGAGGTGATCACGGGTATATACTTATATACATATTATATGATACTTGTGGTGACTAAAGTCGGGTCGGCTCGTAGAGTACCCGCGAGTGATTCACGGATTGGGTCCGAAAGGACGTTTGTCCGGACGACCCTCTAAGTGAACCTTTGTGGCGGAGTGACAGGGCAGGTTGAGACTGTCTAGGAGAGAGGTGGGCCTGGCCCTGGTCGGTGTCCGTGGTTATTTTAAGATAACACGCTTAACGAGATCTGGGTATTTGATCTGGGTCTGGCCATTGGCCTATACGCACTAACCAACTACGCGGGAACAGTTATGGGCACTTGACGTCGTGGTATCAGCCAAAGCCTTCGTGACGTCAACGACTGAGCGGCGCGCGCCGGGTTAGAATGGAACGCCTGCTCTTGTATAAGGGAGGCTAGGTTTGCTCGCCGGCCGCATACGCAACATGCAGGTGTGCAATGGGCGATGGGCCCAGACCCCTGCGCCATAGGATTAGACCGGCGTGCTGACCTCTCTGTTGTGGCTAGGAAGGGCTGCGACGTGTTGATCTTCCGAGGCCGGGCATGACCCCAACAAGTGTGTCCGGACAAAGGGGATCGAGCGTGTTGGGAAATGTGGCGCACCCCTGCAGGGAAGTTAATCTATTCGAATAGCCGTGATCTTCAGTAACAGGACGACTTGGAGTTATACCTTGACCTCATGACAACTAGAACCGGATACTTAATAAAACACACCCTTCCAAGTGCCAGATACAACCGATGATCGCTCTCTCACAGGGCGACGAGGGGAGGATCGCCGGGTAGGATTATGCTATGCAATGATACTTGGTTAACTTACCATCTACTCTCTTCTACTGCTTCAAGATGGAGGCTGCCAGAAGCATAGTCTTCGATAGGACTAGCTATCCCCCTCTTATTTCGGCATTCTGCAGTTCAGTCTACATATACTACCCCTTTCATTTGATACATTGCATATGTAGTGGAGCTCCTTGCTTGCGAGTACTTTGGATGAGTACTCATGGTTGCTTTGCTCCCCCTTTTCCCCCTTTCTATACCCGATTGTTGCGAGCAGACGATGGAGTCCAGGAGCCAGACGCCATCGTCGCCGACGACTCCTACTACACTGGAGGTGCCAACTACTACGTGCAGGCTGCTAACGACGACCAGGAGTAGTTTAGGAGGATCCCAGGCAGGAGGCCTGCGCCTCTTTCAATATGTATCCCTGTTTGTGCTAGCCTTCTTAAGGCAAACTTGTTTAACTTATGTCTGTACTCAGATATTGTTGCTTCCGCTGACTCGTCTATGATCGAGCTCTTGTATTCGAGCCCTCGAGGCCCCTGGCTTGTAATATGATGCTTGTATGACTTATTTTATTTGTAGAGTTGTGTTGTGATATCTTCCCGTGAGTCCCTAATCTTTATCGTACACGTTTGCGTGTATGATTAGTGTACGGTCAAATCGGGGGCGTCACACCTAACCCTAGAACCTAAACCGTACTACACTTACCCAAGAACACTAACCATAGAACCCTAACCCTAGAATGCCAATCGGGGAAATGACAAAGGAGGAGGATGACTTACTCCACACCGCCGAAGGAGGAGGCAAGATGTTGGCTGCCCGTCGGATTGGCCTTCACCGCCTGGGCGAACGCAGTAGCCGCCGCGTATTCCAACGACTTCGGCGGCGACGACGGTTGGGGAAGAGGCAGCGCGCTCGAGGGATTGGAGCTCCCGCAGAACTCCGGCGGATCTCCAGCACCTTCGCCCGGAGCATCCCCACCGGCAGCAACTCCGCCGCTGCCGTCCACGCCGCCAGGTTTCGTCGTCGCCATGGATTGGAGCTGGAGGGAGAGGTCTGGTCTGGTCGGGTGCGGGCGGTCGGTCTGTCCGGCGCGACCAGACCGTGTCGGTCTTAACCAAACGGCGCCGTCCGCGCGTCCGTTGGGCCACGTCACCCAAATTGGGCCCCACCTGTCGGAAACGCCCTCAACCGCGCCAAATGACAGGTTCAATGCACTCTGCAAATTTTTTACTGAATGCGCGGTGGCTTTTGCAAAAGATTAGCGACGAGATTGTTTTCTGCAATAAAAGCCCCAATTGTGGTGGTTTCTTGCAATTCACTCGCAAAATACTCTTAAGTGGGTCTGGAGGCAATCCCACCGTGATCTGTCATCATACGTTGCCGATCTCACGCTCCATAACAATAGTTTCCTGATTTTTACTGAATGTGCGTTTTCACCTGATACATCGCCATTTATGTTACCGTCTTATACCTCATTTGCACTAGGGTCTTCATAACTCTAGGGCCGGCCATGTCTGTGACCTTCGGTGGACCGGTTCTAGAGGTGATTACGAAAGAAGCACGGCCACACCGAAAAAAGCGCATTCTTGGACTGGCATCGGTGGCGGCATGCGGTTGATCCGTTCGTGCGAGGTTTGTCCCGCAGCGACGGACAACGCGTATCAGCGAGAATTCCCGGTGATTGTTTAGCCGGAACTGAATCCCGAGATTTGGACATCGCCGTTTTATTAAGAACGATACGGGACAAGGGAGATCACGAGCACGCCAACCTCATCAGTCCATCTGAAAATGGCGTGTCTGTGGGTCTTGGGGAGACTCTCTGCTTTGACTGCTTCAGGTGTTGCCTCCAGTGTGAGACAAGAAACAACAGTTCGAGTGTAGCTGGAATCACCATAGGCTCATTTTAGTATGCTGTACATTTGTACTAACCAGTTAACCACTACCGGCCTGGCGCCATTATCTTATGCGCAATGGTGCTTACTTTCATGGATCATGTGGAACTCAGAGGTCATGGTTGCGTGGAATTCGGTCAGGCACGGGTACGACACGACACGACGTGTTCAATAACTGAATATGCAGCCTGCCCCAATTATTACAGACTCGGCTAAGTCTGCTTGACATCTAAACTGGAGCTAGCAGATGCCGCGTACGGATCAGCTTGACGAATATATACTACTAGTAAGTAGACTTGGTCTCACTAAATCGAGGAAGCAACTGACAAAATTTTCACCTAAAAGCTCATAACAGACGAGGATGTACGTCAGAAAAACAGTCGTTTCCTTAGCCTGCAGCTGCAAGTAGCCCGTGACCCGAACTTGTCAGCAGTTTGCAGTGACCAACTTGAGCTTTTTTTTGGAACTGGCATAATGTTGCAAACAAGAAGGGGAAAATGTGGGGAATGTTGAAGCGTGTGTTCGGATTGCACTAGTCCTTTTCATCAGTTCGGACTTTTGCAGTTCAGACTTTTGATCGCGCAGCCGCTGGCTAGTGCACGAAGCTTAATAGGGAAAAGAAGACATTTGCCCCGAATGGTACACAAGGAAATCCGGGCATAAACAAACTACATCTCATATATATTTCGTTAATCATTTCATCAGCTGTAACTGATTTGTGTTTGTTGTTCAGAAAAGACATCTCATACTCCCTGATGGAATGACACTACCGCCGAAAAGACGAAAAACAATCTAAAACCCTTGAAATATTCACATTCCGTTATTATCTGCACAAGCTGTACAGAGACTAGAAGGCTACAAAGCTGCACAGGCCGAATATCAGCAGATGTCCATTGCTTCCAGAATCTCAAAATGCATCAGCAGACTGCGTGGTCTACCATCAAAATACTTCTTTTCAGATGGCATCAGTCTCCCTTCACATTTCTTAGCCTCGTCCTGAAGCAACCGCAGCATCGTGTTTTTCTCGGCCAGGATCCATGGGCGGTTCGGATCAGACCACTGCCTCGGAGTCCCATGAAGGACAAAACGGAGAGTATCACTAGTCTGGGAAACATAGCTGGCTATCCCCTTGATCACCGCATGATCAGTAGTGTATGCTCCAGCACAATTGAGGCCCACATCCAAATAATGGAACTCGGAAATACTTGATAAAACATCACTAGCTGTAGCAGGAACGAGTAGATCACCGGTCAAGAGGGATGGGCTTCGCTGTGAAACATCAACTGAACTTTTTGTTGATTTTGAGGCCCAGTAAGAAAGTTCTGCCACAAGCTGGTTGACGACAACTCCACCCTTACTGAATCCCAGGATGGTAGTTTTAGGAGCACACGACGGTAGCAATGATGCAGTAGGTTCTTGATTGCCTGCGGAATCATTCAATGACCCCCTCGTGACCTTATTTTGTATCTGCGAACAAAAAACATGGATGGGAGGAATTAACAAGGAAAAGCGGAAAGGCACTAAGTTCTGAGTGGAATCTAGAATGTCTACAAGAAATGAGAATACGACTACAGTATGCTAATTCAGTGGGAAGACATAAACCACGTAAAATGTACAGGCGCAATAAGATAAATACACAAAAGGGAAACAAAAACATCTAAGCATGCACATATTGAAAAATACATTGACACAAAACAAGAACAACGTATAACATATGCATTATCATCAACTAGTAATGCAGTGGGGTTTCTCCAATACTGATGGAAAGGATATATTTTCTAAGCAACAGTCTGTTAAGGGTGCGTGTTTTGGTTTCAGTTTTCTTCGAAGGATCCCCGGCAGTATAGGTCTTGCTCCACCACAATTATATAAGATAGTAGTAATACAAGACTGCGGAAATTCATTCTGGCTCTCAGATCCAGATGCACCCCGAATCTGAACCACACTTTCCCCTAGTGATGTGCACCACCGTATGTATTCTACAAGACTGCCAATGTAACCAGACTAGATACCGGAAATTTGTGGTATTAATATTACCTTTGAAATAGGCTCCTATCTTGGATTATTTGGACCACGGGATGCGTTAAAGTGATTCTCTCCAAAACTACCACACGATGAACAGGTTCCTATATGAGGTCAACGACCAGGTTGTCTTCAGCATAAACATCGGTTAAACGAAAAGTGTGTACGAGTGGCGCAATAAGATAAATACACAAAAGGGAAACGAAATGGCAAGATCTCGTAGGAAAGCTAAACATCTCAGTATGCAGAGTTAAGCACATATTGAAAACCAAAAACCACATTGGCGCAAAATAAGAACATATAACATACGCATTGTCCTAAACTAGTAAGGCAGTGGGTTCCTCCGATAGTGATGGGAATTGGGAAGGATATATTTTCTAAGCAAGAGCCGTTAAGGGTGTGTGCTTTGGTTTCAGTTATCTTTCTCCCAGCAGTATGGGTTCTTGCTCCACTATCCAGAATCACTGTCAATGTAACTAGACGAGATACTGGAAATATGTAGCATCAGTATTACCTTTGAATCAGGTAGCTATCATGGATTGTTTGGACCACGGAATGCATTATATAGCCATTCTCTCCAAACTTTTCCTAGCTGTGTGCTATATGAGCTCAGCGACCTGGTTCGCTACATTATAAACATCAGCATCTCTGCTACCCCATCAACCGTCTCTCCAAGAATCCAGGTTAGATCATCTGCAGACTATTCCATCCATTAAATACACATTGCATCAACCTCAACAAACTAAGCTGTAACATCCTATAACGAACATGGTATGATGACATGCTGCAAGGACACGATGAGTCTATCACTGGGCTCTGGGCTGGAAACACTCAAACATGATGAAAGGACCACGTCCAAACCTGTCCACTCTACTCCAGCCTCTTGGATCAGTGAGAGGCCGTCGTTCTCGTGCACACCACCCACAGAATAAACAGAAATGTACATGATTCCCACGTGAAATCGAAGAGCAATGATCTAATACTCACAGCAATCCTCTGGTATTATATCAAACATGGAATTTATCATTGATCGCTCTCTGGTTCCTGGGCAAGATTATCAGAAGTGTTATGGTTCCTGCTAATACTCCCTCCAGTATATAAGTTTTTACTACGCATATAAGTTTTATTCTGAGCCAAACTTTATAAAGTTTGACGACCAACCTTGTATTGAAAATTATAAACATTTACAGTATTAAAGATATATAATATGAAAACTAGTTCCATTATTCATATAATGATATTGATTTGGTACTGTGATTGTCGATATTTTTCTATATACTTGGTCAAACTTTATGAAGTCTGACGTAGGATAAATCTTATATGCAGAGTAAAAAGAAATGGAGGGAGTATCTAATTCTGCAAAACAAATATGCCCTGAGAGAATGAAAGTGCACTGCAGCAGCTTGTCACAAATACGCAGTAATGTCGGCACAAAAAGTAGTGAAAAGGTGGATCTGATACGAGGGCATTAATCACCATAACTAGATTCATCATCTTTAGACACACTTATTTGATCCATAGTCACATTTGCTGTTTTGACCTGGCTTCTGATGCTTTGTCAATTATGATCACTAGAGCTGTTGAAAATAATCTTATCACTGGCTTAGTTAAACATATTGCGCCCGAGGGAGTAGCCATTCCGTAATATGCATATGGTAATACCCTTCAGTTCCACGATGACTTAGAGAAGGCAAGAAACCTTAAACTTTTACTGTGTCTGTTTGAGCAGATGTCAAGTTTCAGAATATTTTTCACAGAAGTGAAATTTATCTACTTGGTAATGCTACAAACAGAAACACTGAATCTGGGGAAATCTTAACCTGTAAAACTGGGAAACTGCCTTTAGAATATCCAGGGATCCCTGTAGATGAGAAGAGAATTAGAAACAGCAACGGCACAAAAGTGTAGAGAAGATTGAGCAGAGACTTGGGTGCTGGCTGGGCAGGACTTTATCTATTTGTGGCAGAACTATCGTCATAAATTCCTTCTTGTCTGGCATTTCTACAGAATTCCAGTTAGGATTAAGGAAAAAGCAGGTCCATTAAAAGCCAGACTTTTTTGGAGTGGGGACGGAAAAAGAAATGCCATTTGGTTAACTGGCCCCATTATTTACCTAAAGGTCATGGTTGCCTTCGGATTTCAGATCTAGAAATCATGAGCATTCACTTCTGTCAAAATGGTTGTAGGAAGCTATTTAATAGCAGAGTTCCTTGGCAAGATTTCTTGACAAACAAATACTTGAGAAATACTCCCTCCATCCGGAAATACTTGTCATCAAAATGGACAAAAAGGGATGTATCTAGAACTAAAATACATCTAGATACATCCCCTTTTATTCATTTCGATGACAACTATTTTCGGACGGAGGGAGTATCAATCTAAGGCAAGTTGTCACTAGAAATTGGGAGACTCACTTTTGGCAAGGATTGATGGAATAAAACCTCTTTCTTAGCTGATGTAGAATTTAACTAGGAAGCTGGAAGAAAACAAGCTTTTGGGAGGAACCAGACTCACTGAAAATTTCCCCAGGCTCCTTTCTACTGTACCTCTTTAGAGCCTAACATTACAGTACATCAGGTTTATGCTTTGGGTTTTAATTCTCTAACTTTCAGAAGAACTTGACTTGGAGACAGACTAGAACAATTGCGAGCTTTACGTGATTTGTGCGCTAATTTCCGTCTGACTGATGGGGAAGACAAAGTCTGACAGACTGAATACAAGAAACATGCTTCGGAGAAGGAACTATACTTAGGAGTCTGGTCTGGAATGCATCCTTTGTTCTCAGTCAATGGAGGAATGTAGAACATCTCTTCTACAGCTGCCCATTCAGCCGCAGATGCTGGACTGCCCTTAACATTTCCTGGCCTCTAGATGGTGACAGACTGCTACTCATTAATCAGGGGAGACATCTCTGGTCTGGTCCTCTCCTCATGGAGGTCTTCATCTGTGCTGCTTGGAGTATTTGGAAGAAGAGAAATAATAAAATCTTCAAGCACATTGTGCCCTCCTTCCAGTCCTGGAGAGACAGATTCAAAAAAGATTTTGAACTTTTGATTCATAGGGCCAAGGCTGACCTAGGGCCAGCCATTCTTGGTACTGTAAACTCCCTCTCCTAGATTAGATTTTATTCCCTTTTACTCTCTGACTAGTGTCATTTTGGCCTCTCACCTCACAACTATCATCTACCTTGACACTTATAGTAGGTTGCGAGACATGGGAACACCATAAACTAGCCCAAAGTATGTAAATTGTTTCCTTGGTGACTTAATACATGTGTCAGTAGAGCCTTTCATACTGTCTTCCAGTTCAAAAAAAAAGGACAAACTTGTTTGGCTTCTCTCCCACTCTGGTGAGTTTAGCGTGAAGTCTTTCTATGCTGCTATGCAAAGTGCTGGTGTAATTCCCAGCAAGTTCTGGTGGAAAGCTAAGATCCCCTGCATGTCAAAACTTCCATTTGGCTGGTGCTTAGGAAAAGCATTCTGATGAGGGATGTTTCGCTGAGAAGGGGTGGTAATTGTGAAGCTTCTTATCAGTTTTGTGGTAGCAATGAAACCACTAGTCACGCCCATTTCTCTTGTCCCCTGGCCAGATATATTGGAATGTGGTTAGCTGTGCACTGGGAATTCGTTGTCAGTTTACTGATGCTGATCACTGCCTGAATACCTGGCTAAGACTTTTACTGGAAGCAAACGTGGGATAGCGGCTGTTGGGTTTGCAGGGGTCATGTGGGGTATTTGGAAAGCGTGTAATTTGGCCTACTTTCATAATAAATGGCCTAGCAATCCTTGTGCACTGATCTTTCAAATTTGTTTCAGGATTAAGTTCGGAGCCACTTGCAGGGAAGGAGGACGCAAAGCTGGTACTGCACAGGTGAGCAAGATGGTTTGAACAAGTCACAGTTGAGATCTTCCAAGCTTCACACAGCTGGATGCTGTGGATTCCTCGACTGACGACATGACGGCAACAAAGATGGGATGGATTCTAGGTGCATGGCGTCTGTCTTTTTCCTTTTCCATTTTAGCTAGATCGCCTCCCTGGCTAGGAGCTGAGCCCTACATATTTGCATTGCCGCTGTTTTCCATACGCCTTGTTTAGCTTCTGGCTTTTGTTGCCCCTGTTTTTGGGCTCGCTATTTTGGTGTTTGATGTGTGAGGGAGTTAAAAGTTAAAACAACATTGTAAAGCTATGATTTCTATAAATGGAAATTGGGGGAAACCCTTTAGCTTAAGATAGTCAGTTTATGTACAGTTTTTGTGAACAAAAATGGAATCTCATCCCCAAATAGAGGACCCACGAATTCTCCTTCTTCAGAAATGGGTACAAGAAGTATTCACTTAAACCAAAACTTGAACTTTATGTGAAAAAAAAAATTCCTGAATCTGATGACTACCTGTGGTATCTGCCCTGAAATAAAAGTCACCTAACATATCCAGGAGCAGTGCTAGAGGGTTTTCGCATATCCAGTAACAAGAACGTGACAATATCACAATACCATAAGACCTCAATTCTTGTAACATCGTACCTGGCCAAGGCAAAAATTTAACTACTGCTGAATTTTCCCGAAATTTACCGCAACTTACCTCCCGAATACAATGTGCCAAGATGTTGGCAACGCCAGCCGCCGCCGGTAGGCCAGTGGGGTCATACCGCTCAGGGTCGCCAACGGTGTCCACGGCCGGCACAAGCTCTCGGTAGACCGCAAACGGCCCGGCAAAGCAAGCGGCATCGACCACCCACGCGTTGGCTTCCCCGGCGAGCTTCCCAGCGAGGAGCTTGGCGAGGTAGGCGGCGTCCGACAGCCGCTCGATCGCCGGCTCGCCGGTGCCGGGGACGCGGTCGCCCGTGAAGAGGATCGCGTTTGCGCGTGGAACCTGGGCGGCATCGGGGTGTGAGGCTTTGGATGCTATTATTGCCTTGGAGAGGGGAAAAGGGCAGCGGGGTCATCCTTACGGCGAGGGCTTTGGAGGGCGCGAGTATGAGCGAGGCGGCGACGCGGAAGAGGGGGGCGCCTTGGGAGAGCGGGACGTGGACGACGCCGGTCCACCGCCCCATGGCCGCCTTGATGTCGCCGGTCGCCGGATTTGCGGGAGAGGGATCTCCGAGGCGTCAATGGACGATGCTGCCGGTTGGGAGACACTCAAGAACTCTGAAAATAGTGTCGATATCTTCATTAACTGCATCTCTTCAGGAAAACGCTTCGTCTGGATCTGACGGCTCCTCACTCAATGTTTGTGGCGTGACCGGCCGATGCTTAGTTACCGTTGATACAGTAGTAACTCTTTAGCATTCCACCGTCAATAAAAAAAATACTTTCTCCTCTTCGGTTTACAAGGCTCATCTCAATATTTTTGTTTTTTCAATTTAGAGGGCTCATCTTCATGTCATTTTAGTTTCCAAAATACGCATTAAGAAGGTGTTTAGATACTCTCTAGTCATGTGACTAGTAGTAGTCAGACTAAAAGTTTTTAGTCAGGCCCTGTTTGAAAGATGACTACTACTAGTCAGCATTAAATGTCTCAGTATTAAATTCTTATCTCTCCCTTCCATTTATCTCTCTAGCCCGCAACAGGATGGGCCCGTCAAATAATTAGAGGAGAGACTTTAGTCACTTTTAGTTGAGGATGGGGTGACTAGGGACTAAACTAGTTTTAGTCACCCAATAGTCAGGGGTGTTTGGAGGTTTACTGACTAAAAGTGACTACTACTAGTCTCTAATCTCTAGTCACTAGTGATCCAAACACCCTCTAAATCTTTGCATGCAAGAATTAAAGAGAACAACACCAATGCATGTAATGTTCCTACTCACCTACTCCCTCCTTCCGGTTTATAAGGCTCAATTCAAAATCTCATCAACCAAGATAGATGATGAGTGGTAGAATATTTTTTGTAGTTTGCAAAAGCACCCAATTAATGCTCTTGTTTTCCTCAAAAAAATTATGTTTATGAATGCATTAATTGCAATGCATGCATACATAAAGTGCATGCATTGGTCAGTTTTCTCTTAATACTTGCATGCAATGATTTAATGCACCTTGAAGTCTGAACATGTGATGGGAAACAACCAAATTGAGCCTTATAAAATGGAAAAACTAAAATTTTGAGATAAGCTCTATAAACCGAAAAGGAGGGAGTAGTGGCCAAGCATGCATGCACTGTAATTAATCCAAATTAATGCATGAGTTTAAATGACGTAGTTTTGTAAAGTACGAGATACATTCCTCCACTCACAAAATGCTTTGGTTGATGAGATTTGATATTTGAGCCTTATAAACTGGAAAGGAGGGAGTAATCTTTAGATGCAACCTCTATATAATGTCCATTCTGTGTTGTATAGACTATACGTCAATAAATTCAAATCAGAGAGAGTACTTTAGCACTCTTCTTCTGATTCGCCTCATTCACTTTTTCTGCAAGTATATACAATAAAACTTTATGATATACCAAGATTTTTCACTCATAAACCCATAAATCATAAGGCCTCATTCGGTTTGGAGGAAATCAAAACATAGGAATTAGGAGTAGTATAAGAATTTGATAGGATGACACCTGTCATCCTAAAGAATTGATTTGCCTTGTTCATACGTGCAAAAATAAGCTTTGAGTGGATGTGTAGTTTTCTTCAAAAACATAGAAAATGAGTAGTATTCCTACGAAATTCATGTACGCATTTCCTACAAACCGAATGAATATATAGAAAAAAAATCTCTGGAATCCCTGTTCATATGCTTTTCCTATGAAAATCCTCCAAATCAAACGAGGCGTAAGCATCACCCCCGCCAAGCACATTCTATTGTTCGCATGAGCTTTTGGCACTAACAACGTATCTATTTTCATCAAGCTTTTAGCTCAATATTGCGAACGATCGACACCCCACTTAGAACCCTTGGAAACCAGAGCAAAAATGTGGCAGAGAGTTGGGTGGCTTACTGTAATCAGTTTGGTACTCTCTGATTTGTCGATGCGGCCATGTCTGGTGTCTCTTCTTCTGTAGGGCTCGCCGACGACGTGCTCGAGTTGGGTGACATGACATGGGACCAAGCATGTTGCCCAGGAGCCGAGTTATGCGGGCTCAAGAACAAGCGGTAGTGCACACATTTTTATAGGGTCAGCTTCACAATCTATGTGCCCTCCAAATGACCAATAGGAACGCTATGTTCATGTAACGTCCTCGATGCGGCTATATCTCCCACGTGTCGAAGCACGACTTAGAGGCATAACCGCATTGAAAGCAATGTCGCAAGTGAGGTAATCTTCACACAACCCATGTAATACATAAGGGAAAAGATACATGGTTGGCTTACAATCGCCACTTCACATAATTACATGAATAAGGCATTACATCACCCAGATACAGTCAAGGTCCGACTACGGAACCAAAATAAAAGAAGACTACCCCAAATGCTACACAGATCCCCGATCGACCCCAACTAGCCTCCACTACTAATCAACTGGAAACGAAAATGACATAACGAACACGATCTTCATCAAGCTCCTCCTTGAGCTTGGTTGCGTCATATGCACGGTATCATCGGCACTTGCAAGCTGGTTTTGGAAGTATCTGTGAGTCAAGAGGACTCAGCAATCTCACACCCTCGCGATCAAGACTATTTAAGCTTATAGGTAGATAAAAGGTATGAGGTGGAGCTGCGGCAAGCGACTAGCATATATGATGGCTAACATACGCAAAAGAGAGCGAGAAGAGAAGGCAAAGCACGATCGATGAACTATGATCAAGAAGTGATCCTAGAACAACCTACGTCAAACATAACTCCAACACCGTGTTCACTTCCCGGACTCCGCCGAGAAGAGACCATCATGGTTACACACGTGGTTGATGTATTTTAATTAAGTTCAACTTCAGGTTATCTACAACCGGACATTAACAAATTCTCATCTGCCCATAACCGCGGGCACGACTTCTGAAAGTTCAATCCTGCAGGGTTGTCCCAACTTAGCCAATCATAAGCTCTCACGGTCAACGAAGGATATTCCTTCTCCCAAGATAATCCGATCAGACTCGGCATCCCGGTTACAAGACATCCTCGACAATGGTAAAACAAGTCCAGCAACACCGCCCGAATGTTCCGACAAATCTCGATAGGAGCTGCACATATCTCGTTCTCAGGGCACACTCAGATGAGACTAGCTACGAGTAAAACCAACCCTCAAGTTTCCCCGAGGTGGCCCCGCAGGCAGCTCAGTTTGGACCAACACTCAGAGGAGCACTGGCCCAGAGGGGTTTAAATAATGATGACCCTTGAGTCTGCAAAACCCAAGGGAAAGAAAAGGCTAGGTGGCCCCGCAGGCAGCTCAGTTTGGACCAACACTCAGAGGAGCACTGGCCCAGGGGGGTTTAAATAATGATGACCCTTGAGTCTGCAGAACCTAAGGGAAAGAAAACCAAGAGTGCCACTGGAAGGAGGAGTTGATTTCGGTCGAAATTGATATAAAGATCACCGGAATCGGGTGCACGGTTTGGAAATGACAAGCAAAACAAATATGGCACCGATCTGCGATAAACAGCAAGTAGCCAACTAAATGCATCAAGATAAATATGCTACTCCCTCCGTCACGGTTTAGAAGGCGCGCTTGGAAATTCTCTAGGACCTAGGTGGTTATCTATTGGTTGTGAGATGGGCTAAAAATAGCATTCACACTACGCATGCATATAGAAATAGTACTAATTAGCTACTAGAAATAAATGCAATGCGCCCTAAACCTTGTCTATTGTGGAAACGCACGCAAATTTAACTGTGCCTTCTAAACTGTGACAGAGGGAGTACATCACTCAAATATGGCAACAAAATACATGGCAGGGATCCACTCATGATGCTTGACAAAAGATGAACACTGAGCTACGGCTAATTCACTCAATAACAGGTTCAAACAAGCATGGCAAAAGAGCAAAAGATTGCTGGTTTCAGACATAGTGAAATTAACAGGATATCAGGAATTTATCATCAGGAAGCAATGTTTAGAGCATAATAACTACATGCTACAGGAACATATCATGGCAAAGCAAGGCATGACATGAAGCTACTCAAAGCACATAACAAAAGTCCCTTAGTGACCATGAGCCAAAAGGGATCAGAAAATACAATTAAAAGCATGTGAACATAGCAAAAACATAAACAGATTCAGACTTAGTGAAAAACTGGAGCATGCAAACAGATTAACAAGTAGGCATGTTTACGAGCTCGATACACTCACTAAAAAGCATGGCATGATAATCTAATCATACACCCATCAAGAAGGCATGGCATAGAAGCTAGACATGGCAAGCACAACAACATAGCATGCACGGATCAAAAACAATAAGCTCGGCAAAATTGTTAAACATGTTAACAACCTGCCAGAAACATTTAATAGCAAAAGTAGAGCTCGATTGACTCAAGATAGGGTTCTCCATAAATGCCAACAAAGACATGGATGGATAAACCACAACATTATTAACAAAATATCCTTACTGATCATCCTCAAAAGAGGCACGGATCACTAGGAAACAACATGAACATATGGCCTAAAAATAAGGACAGGGCAAGGACTTAGTGAAATTCTAAGTCCCTGAAATTAGCATCATCGAGTAAGCTACTTTGCATGCTTGTGCTAGTCACCACAAAGATCACAAAAACACATGGCATACACCCCTGTAAAGATGGCATGGCATATAACAAAATACATATAGAGCTCAGGATCATAGCATGCACACATTAAACATGGCAAAAATGACAAAAGACCATTTGCTGAAACAGATCTGACATAATCATCACATAGCCCTCTTCCAATAGCATTTCGGGTATAAAGATGAGCTCAAATGAAAATGATACAATGAGATGAATTGATGTACTCGTCGATGCGAACATTTTGATATGCTACACGCGCGAATCGGAGCTACAATGACAGAGTTATGATGCGATGAAAATGCTCAAAAATACTGAAATCTGGGGGACTTAGTGAAATTTGGACCTCTCAGGAAAAGTCAACCCGGGACGAAGCGGTGCGGGACGGAGGGATCCGAATCGGAGGGAGACGTTTGGTTGGAGGGATGGGTG